GCCAAAAACTTGATAGGGCCAGGTTTTGCCCAAATAAAACTACTGCAAGTGCACAGCAAAAGCAATTGTAGTACAAGGGGTATCGAAATCCCAAGAGAGTAATGCAGACTACACTATCGAATGTAGATTCGGATTAAACTAAGCAAAATATGATGTATTTATTGCGAATGAATGAGTAAAAGTGAGCAAACGATTGTGTGATATGATCTAAGTTCAAGAAAACTAAAAGCGCTAAGTCAGGGTAATTCGCAGGTTTGAATCCAAGAATGTATGATGCAGGAAATCAAGAATGATTAAGAACCGTTTTAAACATGAATCTCTAATGCATAACTAATCAATTCTCATTGTAAAAGTTATCTATGCCTAAATCACAGAGTTTCAAATCTCTTTGCAAATCCTAACAACCTAAGCATGCAGGAATGATCGGATTCAATTGTTTACAAAACTCCTAAGCCAAATCTCTTTGCACTAAGTTGCTTTGCTCATCAAATACTAGTTCAGGTTATGAATAATGCTCTCACATATATTTAACAACCTATAATTTTCGGATTCCTAGATGATGTGTCTCAGAAATTCGATTTTAAAGCAAGCAGAGATGAAAAACCATAAGATATTCCTAACAGATAGCGATTCTACACTCTTTTCATCAACCTTCGAAAAACCCTAACTTAACTAGCAGATTACTCAGACATGATTATGAGATCACAAAACATAACTGAATAAAATTGCATTAAGAGAAAGAATAAGAAATAAAGGGGGTTCGAAATCTTCTCAAAATAGTACATGATTTGTCTCCCCAAAAAGCTCTGAATAAATCTCTCTCTAAGCTCTCTGAATTCTCAAAAACTAAGATAATTGCCAACAATGGCTGAAAAACCTAACAAATAGAAGCTAAACACGATCTGGGGTCTTCATGTAAATAAAGGAAACTTCTGGGCTAATTCTGCAAATCTTCTTGATACTTTTAATAAAACAGCCACGCTCCTTCCTTAATGGGTGACGAGCGTCACCAGTCTGGTGATGAGCGTCACCATATGCGATACTTTTCTGCTTCGAGCTTGGTACTTCGTGGCTTCCACTCAGAATGCTCCAAAAAGTTCCAAAATCTCCAATTATGCTCCAAACATGCTATAACCTGCAAAGACTCTACTAGGACTCTAAAAAGACCAAAAAGACTCAATAAAAAGAACTTATATCATGATTAAAAACCATAAAAACCATGATATATCAATAACTATGGATAACTAGTCACTACTATCAGTGATTAATAAAGTATAATTTGGTACAACTGGGTATTACTGATTGTATAACTGTGGATAACTAGTATTACTATCACTGATTAATAAAGTATAACTTGGTATAACTCGGTATTATTGATTGTATAACTGTGTATAACTAGTATTACCATCACTCATTAATAAAATATAACTTGGTACAACTGGGTATTACTGATTGTATAACTGTGGATAACTAGTATTATTATCACTCATTAATAAAGTATAACTTGGTACAACTGAGTAATACTGATTGTATAATTGAGGATAACTAGTATTACTATCAATCATTAATATAGTTTTTGTATTATTTTGGTAGGATACAATAAGCAACAACAACATCATACATTTTAAATGTAAAGGTCGGCAATATAGTATATTCTTGAAGACACCAACGACGGAGGTAACTTTGGTGTTGATAGAAGCTAGAATATGCAAAAAGGTTTATTTAGATGAATGTATGGTGAAGTTGAAATTGATTTATACTCCACTGCTGGTGGGACATGAGGAAGAGTGGATTATTTCTGATGATGAGGATCTTCGTGTTTATCTGGCCTCCATTGATAATGAGAATCGTAGATGTCTTCTGCATGTGGTGGTCATCACTATCTCAGAAGAACTGTCAGATAAGCTTTCGAAAGCGAGGGAAAAAAAGTTTTCCTGGTGTGAACTATGAAGAGTTGCATTCGAAGGATGATGAAATTGAAGATATTGCCATGATTGTGTACAACCAACAAGCAAACCAACAATATGAGGCGATAGAGAAGGATGATGAGACTAGAAAGGGTGAAAATATATCAGGTGATGAATCTGTGGATATGTGCAATGAATATGGTGAGTTGCAACCTGCAAGCTACTCGGTTTATGGAGGCATGGGAAGACGGTTTGAATCTGTATGTACATCAAGAATTTCCAAATAAGAAGGCAGTGCAGGATTTGGTGGATAGAGGCTCATTTGTGAGTTGTTTTGGTTTTGTTATAGAGAAGTCAAATAAGGTCAGATTAGTGTTGAAATATCGTCAAGGAAGCTGTAGTGTTTGATTTCGTATTCCTTGGTTTGTAAACCTACTTTTCACAACATTTTTAATATTGGACAACTATGTAAAACTAGTATCTTGTTACGTAATACTACTACTATTTATGAGAGTACTGGATAACTAATAAAACTTGGTAATACTAGTATTGAACAATAGAAATTATTTTTTTAAAAACAAAAAGATATTAGTAAACAAGCTAATTTGCATTGTATATATAACAAAAATGTTATAAACATGTATTTAGTAGACAAGTAAAAAATTTCGCATAATGGTTTGTTATCAAAGAATTTCCACAACATAAACCCTATACTTATAAGATCACTTTCTTAAATATAACCAATTTAGGATAAATAATTTCAAAAAAATCACTTTATACAACATATTAATGCATCAAACACTCAGAATCATATGTTCATCGACTAAAAACAACAGTAAAACTAGAAAAACAAAGTAGAAATTTCCGTAATACTAATTATAATAGAAATCACCAAAAGTAATACTATTTGAAAATTTGGTACAACTACTATCTTCTGTACAACTATATACAAATTTGGCGACGCACATGTGTGGAAAGACGGCGCACGTGCAACTCAAAATTTAGTCAAATTTCCCAAATTTTTTCTAGGGTTTCTCTCTCTCTCCCTCTCCCTCTTACTCTTTTTGTGATTTCAAATTTCTCTCTCATAGCTCATCTTCTCTCTATCTCTCTCTCTCTTCTTCCTTTTCTTCACTCGATCTCGATTGTGGGTAATTCATTTTGTGCATAAGATTAGAACTTTCTTGTTTGTTTAGTTTGAATTTGTGAATTTCAGTTATGATTTGTTGATGGTTTCAAGTTTTTTAATGTTGGGTTTATGCATTTCTGGGTTTGTTCTTCATGGTTTATACATTTATGGGTTTGTTCTTCATGGTTTATGTATTTCTGGGTTTTTTCTTCATGGTTTATGCATTTCTGGGTTTGTTCTTCATGCTTTTTATCTTCATGGTTTTGCATATAGTTATACTTGGTAATACTTGGTTGTACTGAAAATGTAATACTTGGTAATACTTAGGTTTGTCTCTTGTTACAGTGAATATCGACCATCTGGACCTAAACTATGGTAGTAAGAAGAGGGCTAAGAAGCTAATGGAACGAATGCGTATGAAGCTGAAACACAATGGTGAAGTGATTACAAAGCTAAAGGAGTTACCTGCGGGTCTTGTGGGTGTAATGTTTAGAACAATATGTATTTGATGTTGTTTGAACTTGTAAGGTTTGATTGTTTGAACTTGTAAGGTTTGTTTGTTTGTTTGAACTTGTAAGGTTTTCATAACAATAAAATTACTGAGCCTAGTAATACTAGTATTACGAATTCAAACCAAATCAAAACAACATAGATTTTTGTAGTAATACAAGTACTATGAATTTAAACCAAATCAAAACAGCATAGATTTACTTAGTACTACACATTCATACAAGTATTATGAAATCACTCTCCTCTTTCATGTCAAATAGTTCACTCAAGTTATTTCATTGACCTTGTAACTGGCCTCTGCCTCTTCCCCCCCCCTGATGCCTCTTTACCTCCTTTTGCCTCTGCCTCTTTGCCCTCTATGGCCTATTTACCTCTGATGTTTGTTCTTCATTAACCTGCTCAAACCAATTCTTCTCTTGGATTGAAAGAGGAGGTTTCAGGTTATATAGTGTATCCAACGCCTCCTTGATATAACACATCGTCACGACCTTTATCTTCTTCTTATAATTTGTTAGTGGGAAGAACATCTGCAAAGTTTGCAGTGCTTCGGATTCCTCCTCAGAATCCTACAAAATACACATAGTTGTACCAAGTGTTACCAAGTTACACTTTTTTTAACAAGTAGTTTTACTTAGTTCTTCTAGTATTACTGGTACAACGAGCAAACACGACCATAATTTTACATGAAATCACGAGAAAACACTACAATAGCTCACATATAAGCCGGAAATCATGAGAAAACACTTCAACAAAACGAAGTAGTTCTCTCTAGTTTTACCAGTATTACTCAAAACCAAATAATCATAGTGAAATGATTCACGAATTCACAACAATAGTTCACAACAAACAAAAATCCAAAAGCAAACACAACACAAAATGATTAATTGCTTCATATTTTTTTAAACTTTCTTTACAGTATAACTAGTTTTCCTAGTTCTACTTGATTTTGCTAACTACTTACATTTGAATTGAATCGCCGTGTTTGCTCACAGGTTTCACTGCTATTTCGGTCAGAACTCTCACAGATGTTGGCGTCTTTATCGGCTTTTTCTATTGATGGGTTTTCGACAGCTTTCTTCCATCGATGGGTTTTCGACAGCTTACTGAGATTGGATCTTAGATTCTAGTACCTTTTCTCTCACCTTGTAATATTCTCCTTCTATTCTCGCCATCTTTCTCAGTTTTTCTAGGTTTTTTGTCTGAATCGAGTGTCAAAGGAGGAGGAGTGAATATTTGATGTTTGCGTTCTTCAACTTTTCTAATTTGCTGTTTACTGAATCCAAAATGACAATAAAATTAAGTGTTTTTAAGTTTATTTCGAGTTGACCTATTAAATTTGAATTTGGGTGGGTTCAGTTAGGTTGGGTTTGTAATTTTAACAAAAACAAAGGATAAAATAGACATATATAATGATTTTTGTATTAAAAATAATTGAAAAAGAAAATCAAATTAGAGGATGGTTTTTTGAGATTACACTTTTTAGCTAGAGGGGTATCTGAGACGATTTCTCATGAAAGTCGTCTTCAACCTATGAGAAAAAATTGAAAAGTGAGACAACACAATTACCAGATTCTCCGAATTTCAGCCAGTTCTAACAAAACTTCACTGTCTTGTCAATGGCGTACTCAGACGTGTACGCACCGTCGGCACCGGAGCTACCAGACTCATTCGAACAGCAGCTCAATGGGGAAGATAGATACTGTTACGCATATCCATATAGCTCCTCCGGGATGTTCTCACCGGAAACGCATCCAGACATCGCGAGGAGCTTCGAGTCGGCGGATAGAGACCGGAGCGGATTCCTCGAGGAGTCGGAGCTCCGGGAAGCGTTGTCGTTTTCTGGGTTCGAAGGGATTAGTAACAGAACGATTAGGTTTCTCATGTTCATCTACAAGAGTCCTGGAGATTCTCTGCTGCTGCTTGGTAAATTTTTAATTTAGCTATTAATCGCTTTTCTATCCCTTGATTTTTGTCTGATTCGATAAGGGTTTGGACAAAAATGAACTTTTGAAATTGGGTTTTGATCAAAGATCGAGCTTAGATCAAATGAGAGCTTTTTAGGATTTCCTTGATGTAATTTATGATTTCAAGATTCAACAAAACTCAGATAAGTAAAGTGTTAAATCATTCAAACTTGTGATGTTCAATTTCTTTGTAATCATAACTTTTGAAATTGGTTTTTGATCAAGAATGGAGCTTAATTCAAAGTAATTACGATTCCAGGATGTAGTCACACACTCAGATAAGTGAATTCAATCAGTGGTTGATGGCACAAAGTTTCACTGTTTACAATTTGTGAATAGTTATGAGAGGTTTTTAGGATTCCCTTCATGTAATTTCTGATTTCACGATTCAATCACACACTCAGATAAGTGAATTCAATCAGTTTTTGATGGCACCAAGTCTCACTGTTTACATTTTGTGATTAGTTATGATTTCAAGATTCAGTAATACTCAGCAGATAAGTAAATTCAACAAGTTTTGATGCCAAAAGGTGTTACATTATTCAAATATTTGTTTCATTAAAGTTTTCAGACACATTCAGCTGCTTAGAATCTTTTCATTCAATTTGGGAATAGTTAAGATGTTCAATTTCTGTTTACCGATGAATCAGAGCCCTTTTTCTACGTTTTTGTAGGTCCTAAGGAGTATGTTGAGTTGTGGAATTGCCTTGCGCAATGGCGTGTAAGTGAACACTTAAAGTGTATTCTTCTATGCCTCAAAAGTCAAAACTTGAGTGTTGTTTTGTAGGCAATATTTGACAAGTACGATAGAGACAGAAGCGGAAAGATGAACTCTTCAGAGCTCAAAGACGCTTTCTATCATCTCGGGTACATGCTTCCAGCCTCGGTTCTACAGCTTATCTTATCGCATTATGATGACGACCTCTGTTTCGACGGGTTCCTCGAGTAAGCTTCTTCTCTATTGTCTTCATTGATTCTCCGGTTCTTGATTTCGGAGATTTCTAGATATTTATCGGTCATATTTGTTCTTCTGCTGGATTTGCAGATGTGGCATGATTGTGAAGGTATGAACTATGATCTTCTTAACCTCCATAAATGGCCATTTCCATGAATCTAACCACTTGAAATCGTTTGAAAACATGGGGTTTACGTATTCTGTGTCAGGGTTTGACTGAGAAGTTTAAAGAGAAGGATTCCAGTTACACAGGCTACGCAACGCTCTCTTACGATGTCTTCATGTCGATGGTCATTCCCTTCATCGCCTCATATGACTAATGGTGTAGCGTTTTGTGTTTTATAACAATCTCAACTTCAAAGTTGTACATAGGAGAGTGAAATCAAACTAATGAATAGGTTAAGTTAATGTTGGTTGTGGAAGAGAGAGAGAGAGGAATAAATGAAAGTCGAAAAGATTCTAATAAGAAACAATAGTGTTTAACTTTGACACTTTACACCACGGAGAAGAATCAAATTACAAATTGCTAAGTGTTAATATTGAGCTGTTTGCAAACAAAGAAACCTGAAGTCACCAAACCAAGAACCGAGAAGGCTCCTTGTCTTGAACGCCAAAACTCAGTCCACGTCAAGGGTCTTCTGATTTCAGACAAAACCTTGTTGAACTGTTGGTTAAGATCGTTAAGACCGCCATTGTTATCAATCACAATATCAGCTTTGCTTCTTTTCAAATCCAACGACATCTGAGCCATCACTCTGTTTCTTGCATCTTCCTCACTCAGTCCATCTCTCTCCATCAGTCTCTTGAGCTGTGTTTCTTCATTGACATACACAACAACAATGGGTTTTGTCCATTTATCCATCTTTACTTCGAACAACAATGGGATATCGACAACTATCACTTTAGCTCCTTTTGCCCATTGTTTAAGGATCTCCATAAAAATACCAGTTGATATATATGGAGCCATTAGCCTATATAGAGTGAAAGAGACAACGCTCAATTGCAAGATCTCATCCATTAAACAAGAAAAGAGAATTCTCAGCTAGTTTCTTACTTGTTCAGTAATTGGCGCTTCGAATCAGAAGAGAACACCACCTGACCGAGTTTTGGCCGATCCACTTCTCTACTAGGAAGCAGAATCTCTTCCCCAAAAGCTGCAACTACTCTTTTCCATCCACCACTTCCTTTCTTCAATACATTCTACAGAAACATACGCACATTTAGTAAACTTCTCTTGACCACTCTCTTTCAAATTAAACAGAGATATGGCCAATGAGAACGTACTACGATGAGCTATAAGATAAAAGATACAAAATGAGAAATGCAAAGGCAGAGAGAATTACGCGAGCAACAACATCAGCGTCAACAACGGGAATGCCATTAGCCTTGAAGAGGTTAGAGACTGTACTCTTCCCAGACGCTATGCCTCCTGTTAAACCAACTATTCTCATTTCCCCTTTTCTTCCTCTTTCACTCCTCAGAGGTGAAAACTACAACAAATGCAATTGATTTCCAACTAATTTTCATTATGGTGTCTCTGAAAATTTGCAATTCATGCTTCAAATTCCATCAAAGTCGCCACCTTTTAGTTATTGTTTCCATCATAATTCATCAATATCTCAAAGTTCATCTTTTGTTCTTGACCAATCATTCACCGAATCATTTGAGTTTAGTGGCATACAAAGGAAGGCTCAAAGTCGTCGCCTTTATTCATTTTTTCTCTAAACAAACGAAGGCTCAAAGAGAAAGTGAAAGCTCAATACCCATTACCTTCAGCAAAACTCAAAAATCTAGATTAAACCTAATTCGAACACAATAGCATAATAATTGACAGAGAGACTAGCAGGTTAATATCAAATTAACTTCAGGTTTTTAAAAGACCAATGACACAGAAGCTAGGGCTCTTTGATCCCTCGCTGGCTAAATCCGGTCAGCACTTCCTCCAACGTATTCTACAGTCGATCAAAACTCCGGAACCGGAAGCCGTTGAAGATTGAACTTTTTCCGCAGACAGTTTGTAAGAAAGGGAACAGTTATTGATGTTGACAAAAGCCCTAAATCAATCTAAGAGAAGCAATCAAAACATCAATGTCCAACAAGAGATTAGTGTAAAATGATAGTTGAACGAACTACGAAGCATAACCAAGTTACACACTCTTTGACAAATAGACAAAAGCCCTACAAGAATCTAAGAGAATCAATCAAAACATCAATGTACAAGAACAGATTTGTGAAACGAAACAAAAACAGGATTAGCAGAGAAACAAAACCAACGATATACTAATCAAGCAACAAACCAAACAAATCTGCTTGTTAAGATGCGATGTGACTTAAACAGATTTATGCAAAAGATGATTGAACGCCACGTATAGCGAAAGTTACACACTTTTTTTACAAATAGACAAAAGCCCTAAAACAATCTCAGAGAGGCAATCAAAACATCAATGTACATGAACAGATTGTATAACGAAACAAATACAGGATTAGCAGAAAAAAATTTAACACATGAGAATACTCTCATGATATCTGGTAAGATGGTACGAATTGTTCCCTCGATCAAAGGCCTATGGCATCATTAAGATAGCCAAATATCGAGCTCTGTTTTAAGTGTTTCTCACCAGAAGCCATTAAAAATGATTTCTAGAAACAGAGCAGATCAGAAATTCCGGCCTTGATTTAATAGAATTTCCGAGGGTTTTCGTTCCGATCATAACCAGAAGAAGATGAGACTATACACACGTGAAAAGATTTTCATACCAAAAACAGAAACTTTTTTTTATATAAAATTGCGTAACAATGGAATACAGATCAGAAGAAAACATACGAAAATTGAATGGAAAACGCAACATTAAATGAAAAATCAATGAAGGTGAGAGAGGCAAACCAAAACCGAGAATCTCCAGAAGATAAAAAAAAAAAAAACCAGATCGAAGAATCTAATCGCAAAAAAAATGGTGAGAAGCTCGTGTACCTTAAGGTTTAGACGGCGATAAGAGGGGAGAAAATTAGGTCAGTTGAATTTTATTGGATTAAGGTGTATTTATTATACTCTCTTGTCTGTCTAGGGCTTATAAGGGTTAAGCCAATTAAAATATGGGCTATTGGGCTTTCGTCGTGTTAGGTTTAAATAGCCCGGCCCGTACTTGCAAGTTTGAGTCCAATAATTAATAAAAAGTTATGAACCGTATCTATCTAAATAATCTACTACATATTATTTGAAAAATAACATTATTGAAAATAGTTGATTTGTCAACACTACAGCCAAAATTAATGCTTTTAATTGATGACATGTAAATATGATATTCAAATTTTTTTAAATAAATAAAATATTTTGATTGGTTGAATTAAAATTATAAAAATTATAGAATTATAAATACACTAGATTATATTTATAACACAAAAATTAACAAATCTAAGTTAACAAAAAATAATAATTATTATAATTTTAATTTTTTTTACATATATTCATAATTTCATAAAATATAATTACAAATTTTTTCAACCATATATATATTATAATTTCATATAAAAACAAAAAAAAATACGAAATTATCCAATAAATTAGTAAAAATTCTATATATTAATAATACTTGAAGTATGATATATTTTTATTTCGGAAATTTATTAATTTATAAAATATAGTAATAACTTCTAAAGAGGTTTTAAATAAACAAATTATTAAATAGTACAATTTTAAATATAAAAAACAATCATAATAAAAAAAAAAATGTTAAAAATAATAAAAACATAATTAAATTTTATTGAAATTTTTTAAAAACGTAATTTAAAATAAATTTTTTTTTCAAACCAATATTTACTAAATGAATAAAGTATATACTAATTATGATTTTTAATATTAATAGGACCATATATTTTTCTATAACTTTATCATCTTTTATTATTGTTTTCTAAAATGTACATAACTTATGTTACCATCTCATCTTATCATATTTTAAATAAAAACAAAATTTTATATCATATTCATATATATATATATATATATATATATATATATACATAAAAAATTTATTATATATCAAAAATTTGAGATCATAAATAAAATAAAAAATAACCGAATGAAAGAATAAATTAAAATAAGATGAAACAAATATGAATAAAAAATAAAATAGAAGTATATAAAAATAAATTTCTCGCACTTTGTTTTACAAAGTCACTTAAAAAATTTTTAACACGTAAGAGCCATATTTGATTTTTTTTTATAAATATGCGTACATACATAAATATTAATTGTGCATTAGTTGAAGTCACATACGAACTTTTTCATACATGTATTTTGTTAAGCTTGATTACAGTCTAATTTTAATTTTAATTATTATACAATTTATATTTTTTTAAAAAAAAATTATCTATTCTTAGTGTAGTGAAATGGTTGGTATGCATGCACATAAGTGCCAACCATCTATCCGTTCTTATGAATAAGTAAAAATAGTAAAAACTGTTTCATTTTAATTTGTAATAAATAAAAAAATATATACTTAAAATATATTATATATGTATTTGCAAATTAACTAAGTATTTTAAAAAAAATTATATCCGCACATATGTGCAGACCAACCACCTAGTTCATCCATTATTCTTCAACATCACTTTTTGAAAATCTAGATTTTCATGGGTACCAAATTGCCAAATGATCTACAAACACATAACTAAATCGATTCAGTTAAATCAAACTTTAGAAATCCTGAATAATCGAGTATTCTTACCATTTAAAACACATGCATAGTGACTTATCATGTTTGAAATCGCAGTCGGAAGATTATATAATCTTGTTCTTCTAAATATTTTTTTTTTCATATTACTCTCACTATGCCACACACGCTTAGATATGTATAACAATATTCCATATATACACACATATATTTAAGACAGAGTCACATGTTTATTGAATTTCATTTTTAGACCCTAATCTCTCACGATCTTAGCGAACCGGGAGCTGATTTTCGACCGCTCCGATTGTCCCCTCTAACCTTGGGAGAAACTTTCCCGCCCTGACATCTTGGAGACGGTGGCCAATGACCGGAGGAAACCGCCATGTCTTTGTGGTGCATAAGACTCTCTAGAGCCTCCACAACGGCAGGCATCTTGGGCCGGTCTTTAGGGTTAGGGCTCACACATTGTAAGGCGAGAAGAGCCGTATCCTTAGCCGCCTTGACGGAGTACTGTCCGGCGAGCCTCGGGTCTATAACGCATCGGAGACGACGGCTGCTTGTAAGGTAAGGCTTTGCCCAGTCGATGATGTTCTGCTGGTTTTTAGGTCGTGACTTTTCGGTGGCTCTTCTTCCCGTTAGGAGTTCGAGTAAAACGACGCCGTAACTATACACGTCACTCTTTGTCGTTAAATGCCCTGAAAATATTGCTTCCATGCGTTAGATAATCAATCATATAATGAAATGTATATAGTCCAATTAAAAAAAAGACTACTCATCCAAATTCTGACATATTCACGTAAAATGTATTTGTTCATGTTCTATTTAAACCTTTATAACTATAAAATTAAACTTTTTGTGTACAAACCTGTTGAAACATATTCAGGAGCAGCATAACCATATGTGCCCATGACTCGAGTTGTCACATGAGATTTGGATCCTTCTGGTCCCATTGTGGCCAAACCGAAATCTGATAGCTTCGCCGTAAAATCCTGGAATTTTTAACAACTCACATAAAACAAATTTCTACTGTGTGTTGAAAAAAAGAATTAATAAAAAAAATGATAACTAAAAGTGTACCGAATCGAGAAGTATGTTAGAAGTCTTGAAATCACGGTAAATTATTGGACTCTCTAAATCATGCAAAAACGCCAAGCCCTTAGCAGCCGCTACAGCGATTTTCAACCGCGTCGCCCATGGCAGCGATATTGAAATCCCTGATGATTAGATAACAAAATGAAATACTGATTAATGAACTAAAATTATAATAAAGAGCCATATATGACACTGACATATGACTGCTATAATTTTTTTTTTTTTTATAAAAAGGGTTTGACTACGATAATTATTGAAATTATTGAAAATGTTCTTACGTTTAAAGAGGTGGTTTTCCAGGCTACCACGTGGCATGAACTCGTAGATGAGGACTCGTTCTTCCTCCTCGCAGCAGTAACCGATAAGTTTGACTAGATTTGGGTGTTTTAATTGTCCAAGAAGTATGACCTCAGACTGCATACATAAATATATAATTAATAGTTTTACATCAAATGTAATAATATTCTTAAGAGTGGTAAATTAAGCAAATACAGTACGTGTATAATATGTATAGAGTATATCAAAGTGGTTTCACCAACTATTCAATTCTGCTAACAGAACTGATTCTTATACGTTTTTTACGTGACACCCAAAATAGTAACGACAAGATCATATGCCTACTTAATCCACATTATAAACAAACATATTTTTCCATGTGGTTTCATATCCTAAAGTTACTTAAAGATAAAGACATGAATCCAATGAATTCTTTGACTTTGGAATACAAAATCATGAGCGGTTTGCTGCTTCAGAATTGTATTTTGAGGCACCGTATAATTTGAACCATATATGCGTAATTATCAATTAATATTATAATATACGACATACATATAGATTAATTAAATAATGATTAAAGAACCAGCAAGGCAGTAACAAAGTGAAAAACTCAATAATAACCAGGTACGTTCTTACAAGCCATTCACGATGTCCTTGAAGCCCTTCAATGTCCAATAGCTTGACAGCAACAGGCTGAGCTTTGAGGCTTTGTCGGAGATTCTCGTCTATGTATCCTTTATAAACTTTACCAAACCCACCTTCTCCGAGAAGATAGTTCCCGGAGAAACACTGAGTGATCATCTTGAGTTCACACATCTGAAAATCCACTAAATCTGCTCCGAGAGTATGTGCAAGATCTTCGTTGATCCTAGCCGACGAAGAACGGCTTAGATCGGTGAAAGAGAGCCGTCGAAAAGAAGGAAGTGGTCCAAGATGGTTCTTGGAGAACTCTGATTTGGAAGGTCGGCAACGGCTTAGATTTCCAAAGACAGTTTGGTCATCGACGGAGCAACAGTTTGAGGCAAATGGTTTCCATAACGGTGAGGATTTGGTAGATGTGGTTGAGGAGTCTCTCATTGAAAAAGATGGTTTAACCAAATGTTTTTTTTTGTGTTTTCCGTTTAAGTAAGGAGTCAAAACAATGATGGGTGAGTTGGGTCATATTTATACATTTGAGCTATGGACTATGCGTATATAATAAATATAAAAAATCTCTAAATGTAAACTCTTATATAGATCATAAAGTATGTACCATATATTGGGTTACTGATTAGTCTATGATTAACGAGATATATTAATATTATATACAATATCAGTTTTGAATTCGGATATTGTGATCCAAAGTGCTTTCTCTACTTTTGTTGTAGAACCTTACAATTATAAAAGGTTCTTAATTAGATAAACACTTGTTAGAACCAATAAATTAAGAAGTCCAATAATCATCAAAATTCAGTTCTTACGTGCATATATTTAATTAATTTAATTCCGTAAACAAGGAAAAATGTAAATTCAGTCAATTGTTCGCTAGCTAACTTGTAGACTCACACTTACATATACTAATTAGAATAATCATGCTACATTAGAAAATGTGGAATAGCGGTTTTGTTTCTTTGTTTTCAAGGATAAGATAATAAAATCAAATATAAATAGGAAAGAGTAGGGACGTTCTTTCTTTAACTGCCCTAACTACTCTACTCAAACTTGGGGTTTTGCGTCATGATGTCTTCTCTTTTGACTCATTTGTGCAGAGATATGTGTACGTGTGTGTCACATTTGACTAGGAAATTAAATCTCTATCGTTGTATATATTTAAAATACGATACAGAGAATATTGGACTAGTATACTATGGAGTTATATATAAACTAATAGAGTGCAGTGGATTTGTTATATATATTCGTCAAAATTTCGGTGATTTAACCTGTTCTGATTCGAAGCTGAGCAATTATGGGTTTGTAGCTTCTACTTTAATATAAAACGGATATATCAAAGCTAAATATATGCTTAGAGAAAGAAGAAAGAAGATAAAATGCATGCGCTAGTACTCACCCGATTGTTGAACCAAATAATCCAAATGCTATACCAATGTAAATAAGTCCAAGAGATTAACATCATATGTGAACTTATTTAATAACCAAGTGATACGATCGTAATAAAAAGATGGTTAGATTTTCGCACACCCAAGAACACAATTCAGCTTCAGCATAATTTTGTCAATTTATTGAATTTTGCACTATCAGTAGTATCAGATAATTTCCGATTTCTCGTGAAAAATTAAAGGAGCAGTTAAAGTGAGATAATGGATGATGTCTGCAAAAATGGATAATGTCTGCTAAAAATTTCCTGCAAACAATAAAACTATATTTTATCATTTCGATTACGTTTATTCCTGCTCCACGTTTTCTAAATTACTGGCTATTCCATAATTCCATTCCATTTTATTATAATGAAAATAAGGTATTGAATAAAATGATTTGAGATATATAGGCGCCATTTCGTCAAAGTGACTTTAAAAGCCGTACGAACTCTTTTTGTTTCTTGTTTTAATTACAGTTTAACCAATCAAGCTTTAATAATATCTAAAAAAAAATTTCTTAAACATATTCACAGACTAGGTTACATAGAAACAGAAACAGATACACAAAAACAGAACATTTCAAAATACAGAAACACAACATTTTGAAACATAGAAACACAATTTTTAAAAAATATTGGAATGAAACATGTATATAATATATATATATATATATATATTAAAACATTAAATATATCTAAATTTTATTTTTTTTAAAAATATTTTATTTAAAAAAAAGTTAATACATTATTATTAAGAGAATATTACAGTCGAATGCACTTTTACAGACTGTAATATCAAAAAAAGACATTTAACAATTTTAAGGTATTTTCATTAAATAAAAAGATAATTTTATCCTTCTTTCTTTCTCTTCTTCTCTCTTTTTTCTCTCCTTCTATCTTTCTTTCTCCTGCTCTCGTTCTCGTTCTCTTTTTCTTCTCTTTCATTACTTTTTATCAACGAAACCAAAAACAGTTTTAAGAAGAAAAATTAAACTCTTTTTATTACTTCTTTCTTTTACAATTTCAATACCTCCTTTTCATTTCTCAACCTAAATAAATGTTAAACAAGGAGAAGAGATTTTCAAGCGAGAAATTAACAGAGATTCAAAATGGAGAATCGGGCCAGCGGATTGGATCGGCGACTTGAACGGTGGAGACAGTGCCCATGAACCATGTTCATGTCATCGGAGAGGAAACCCGAAACCCCGGTGTAAGGGTTGTTGTCAGATCGTGGGTCGCTAGATCCGAAACCGCGACGGATTCCGACGCAGAGGTCGCTGGATTCGGAGTGGACGAAAAGATGGATACAATCGGATGGATGGAAGAGATGGATGCAACGACATGGATGCAATCGGGGTGGATGGAAGAGATGGATGCAATCGGGTGGATGAAAGAGATGGATGCAATCTGGTGGATGGAAAAAAAGATGAATGCAAGTGGGTGGATGGAAAAAATGAATGCAATCGGGTGGATGGAAGAGATGGATGCAATCCGGTGGATGAAAAAAAAATGGATGCAAGTGGGTGGATGAAAAAGATGATTGCAAGCGTGTGGATAGCAAATATGGATGTAATTAAGTGGATGAACGCCCAAAAATTATAGTATTATGACACCTAACACAATATTTAAAAAAGGCAAAATCGTCACATCAGCTGCTCAAATATTGAGCAAAGTGCCTTATATCTCCTAAGTGCCTAATTTTGTAATATCTTTCTCCAAAGTGTGTTTTATTGTAAATGACTCTATTATTAAATGAGATATTAACAAAAAAGGTATTTTGAAGAGAGTGTTTACATAAGAAGGTACTATGGCCAACATGAGTACTTTTAATATGTAAAAAGACTGTTATATCCTCTTTTTTTTTCTTAATGTTTCACCTTCTTTCTCAATATTTCATCTTCTTTCTGAATAATATTTTACTAAACCAGCAAAAACCCTAGAGTCATCTTCAAATCTTTGTTCGCCGTCGTTAAGAACATAAATCTAGCAAATCAGTTGATTTCGTGTTCTTTCATTCTTGTACCAGTATTCGGAGTCTTTCGCTGCAGCGGATCTGTATAACATCGCACAACAAGAGTTTGGTACTAGATTTGAAGATGAAAGCATCAGATCCCGACAAATCAGGTAAGAAGAAGTTTATTTGTAGTCCGAATTAGAGGTTTTATTTAGATACTTCAATTATTAAGTACTTACAAAGGTTATTATAGCCAGTTGAAGAAATCTGATGGTTCTGTTCGTTGTCTATTTGATTCAGCTGCTATAGTTGAAGCAATTGAGGCGTCGGATGAAAAACTACCACCACAGTTGTTTGATATGCATTCACAATTGTTTATTCACCAACAAGCATCCACAGTTGGTAACTGCGTGGACAGTATTGTTGGGTGACTACTTTAGTACATATCCACTATTGGTTATTCATCGACAAACGTCCACAGTTGGTTTATGTGTAGACAGTGCTGTCTTTCTGTTTGTAGAATTGTAATAATTGTATTAAATCGTCCACAAGGTGTCATCCATATAGGGGTCTCCAAACGTCCTTGTACACGACCCCATGTACCCTTATGTTTATGCATCCCACTGGTTTGCATTTCTGTTCTGTTTGTAGAGATTAACCAAAGGTGTACAAGTGGGAGGTATTCTTTGGATGTAACTGTATGAACAATGCTTGTATTCCTGTTTGTAGTCTTATAATAATCTATCGGTGATTACTTTCGTACGCATCCACAGTTAGTTATCCACCAACAAACATCCATAATTGATAACCGCATGGACACTGTTGTCGTATGAAAACTTAAGTACGCATCCACAGTTGGTTATCCACCGACAAACGTCCACAGTTGGTTACTTATGGAAAGTGTTGTTTTTTTTGTAGATTGTAATAATTTATAAGTGTGCATACTTAAATATGCATCCACAGTTGGTTATCCACGAACAGACATCCGTAAACAAATTTATTATATCATCCATTAGGGGTCATCCATAAAGAAATTTAATAAGGCACAATTACTTTCGAAGATGATTTTTGGAGAAACCCAATCTTTACTTACATATCATCGAATAACATCCACAATATTAGGACCATGATTATGTAGGTTCCAACCTAATGGAGGGTAGATTTATATTCCAAAACAAAGACGACTTATATGCTGACATGTGGATGGATCATTATGTGGCTGTTCAGATACAGACATCCAAGGAAGGTGCAACAACGACGGTGCATCCATGGGTAAAATGTATGAACTTCAATGCTTCCAAAATGTATGAACTTCAATGCTTCAGTATAAATTTGAATGGAAAAAATCATAGTTTTCTTGAATGTATGTATATGGAAATGCCGGAGATTAGCGAACTATAAAAATTCAAAAAATGTCATCTTTAAATGTTCAGTGTTTATCATGGACATTGATACCATATATGGTCATCCATATATTCTCATCTATTGATCTACTTTGAATAGCGAAATTGATTGCATCCACGAGCCTGTCCATTGAAGAGTGACTATTTGAGAAATATGTTATATGTGCGGGGACATCAGTGATTTGTATATTGCACATGGCTGTAAAAACCAAAATTAAAAATAAAATGTGATGGTGCTATAAACATCAATGGCCATGTGTACAATATATTGCTATCCACACATTCTCATCCATAGTTTACACAAATTATATTAGCGTGTGTACAATAAATTGCTATCCACACACTCTCATACATAGTTTATACTCTGGCAAATGACCAAATTACCCTTATCTTCTACTTTACTTATGCAACAGAAAACTTTGAATTTTCGCCGATTTGTTTTTTTCCACCGTTATTGGCGTTTTTGCTCATTTTTCTTACGTTAGTTACCTAGTTATATCAGATCTACCATTTAATATATGATTTTGAACTTACAATCGAGAAAAAAGATTTAATTTTCGAGTTTCTAGCCAATTTAAAGCAAATCAACACAGTTCATGGTCTGTCAATCTGGTGTACGCTAGGTGAGCAATTAAATTCGAAAGAGAACGACTGTGTGTTCACCGTGGAAGGAGGTTGTTGATGGCGGCATCTAGATCTTGTTGAAAAAAAAATCTCAGATGTGGATTGTGAAATATTTTAACAGTTTTAGATGAGATAGTGTTTAATGGTAAATTGGACAAATTCCATACAAAGAAACAAAGAAGAAACAAAGAAAAGTACCCCATTTGGCCAAAGTACTCTTTTTTGTAAATATAGTTTATGAAAGTACTCTATTCTGTAATATTCTCTTACTAAATAGTAATGTTCTAAGTTAAATATTTAGAAAAGTTTTCTTCCTTATCAATTTTGTTGATTATATCAACGAAACTTATCTATATCGAACCATAAAAAAAAATTCAAACTCAATAATACCAAGATTAATCTTATTTTATAAATCAAAATAATTATTAATTTCTTCTAACGAATCAAATTAATTATTAACAATTAATCTGATCACTTAATTTTATTTTTATAATTATTATTTTATTAACAAAAATAAAAATCAAGTTTCTATTATGTTTCCAAATTGGAAACATAAGTTTCCATCGTGTTTCCAAAATAAAAATTTTAGGAAACACAATTTTACGAGTTTCTAACGACTTTTGAGAGTTTTAGTTTTCGAAACTGAAAATGTAACTCGACAGAGTTTTCATGTAACTCAAAATGTTCTTTTTAGCCAATAAACTGTAATTATTTATATATAAAAATTCAACCAGTATCTTACAACTAATAATATCTGTAAAAAAAAAAAATTACTATTAATGATTTCAATCATGAAATCTATCCTTAATGATCTAGATTTGTTTTAATCCAACCCTAACAGTTTCTTATACAAAAGGTTGTATTTAACCAAACATTACAACCTTTTGTACACACCAACACAACTTTTCATATATATCATTACAACCTTTCATATATATATATATGGAAAACTTAGAAAGGATCTTATAATAAGATAATGTAGGAGGATTATCAATACACCCAATTCTAATTTCTTTAATTGAAACTGATCCATCACAGTATCGTCTTTTATATTAGAATTCATAACTTTGATATTAACATGATCTTTATATTAAGCCAAAAAACACATATGTCACATATAAGAATAATTATTCTTACAATATCTACACATAACTCCTATCACAACTCCTATCGATCACCCCCGTAACCGTAAGCTTTGATTTATAAAAGTGGAACAGAAAAGAAAAAAATAGATTAAGTGTTGCAAATGTTGTAGGTGAAATAATTGCGGTTAATGTGAAACATGTAGAATAATTACTGTAACAATCGGTAAAAAAAATATGTTTGAATGGTAAAATAAGATAAGTAACGAAATAAAAGGTATTGAAAGAAACCATCACAATCATCATGTTGGTAATGGTGGCTCGGATAAGGTGATGACTTGTGAGGACTATATCTAGCGGAAAATCCATTGACCATGTTCTCTAATCCATTGTTTATGAAATTTGTGATTGTTTGAACTTACTTAAGTTACTTTAAGTTTAGTGTAAATGAAACTTATGTATGTTGCAGAAAATGAAGACACGAGGAAGATCCACAGAAGAACATTCCCAGTTTGAATGTTTGTTAGAGTTGGTGTAGATGTTTACAAGGAATTGCTCTAAATGTAGCTTTGATGATGAATGGGGTCAACTTCGGCTTGTGTTAGGCCCAAGTTTATCTGATAAGATTCAGTTCTTCAATATGCTTTTTCATTTTGGGCTTGCTACTTGGATTGTTATACAAGATAAGGTTAGACAATAAGAGATAGAAGTGTAAAAATCATAGAAGAATAAACAGTATGTTCGGTAATGTTATCTTTTATAAAATGATCTTGCTTTCTCTCATTCTCTGTTATAAAGAACATGAATGAAATAATAAGGTCTGTTTCATTAAGATATTTTCTGTATAATACATCCCTTCGTAAGTATTTTCTTTTTAAATCTAATATAATTGAGTTAGCCAAAATTATTTTTGTCTTATTCACATTTTCAAATATATTCCATAAGAACTTTATATTTATTTACACATTTTTTTGAAATAGTTGTCTTGTAACTTTATTCCTTTTCTCTCTTTTCTTCTTTTTATCAGCTCTTTCTTCATCCACTAAGTCAAAAGCTATTCTCATGAGTGGCTAGAGATGTATCTATAGTAGTATAGTACAATGTTCTTCCGTCTAGAATAAATTCGTTTATTGTTTAATTGGAAAATATTTCACTTTAACCGATAGATCAACAGAAATTACGGAATATACAAATCATCATCAACACTTTGAGCTTAGCTGGTAATAAAAATTAGTGGAGAAATCCCAATTAATTCTGAAATTTTTGAAAAGAAAAGAATGTAAGTCTTTTTAACTTAGTTTTTGAAATTTAAATAGTAAAATCCTTGCTGATAAGTGAGACTGTGAGAGAGTGAGAGTGGAATGTGACTGTTACATTTCGCTTTAACTTCTTTTGTTTTTTCTTTAGAAAAACAAAGTTACAATGACTTGCCCAATCAGCAAACACCTAAATTACATAACTTTACCCTCCACTATCAAAAGTTACATCCAGCCACCCCACTACTCTACAATCTTGTCGTGTTAACCCCCACAATTGTTGAAAATCTTTTATAAAACCCATTAAATAGATTCTAAAACCTCCAGAATTCACTAATTCCAGCTTGAAGAACAAAAATGTACGTGACGAGGACACTGTCGCAGTTCAGAAAATACCAGAAGACGCTCTCGGAGGAATCACCGGAAGGTCCATTCTCCGGCGTTCTGGTAATTACAGACGAAGAAGCAGAAACAGAGGATACGTTCTGTTTCGGTTTATGTAAGAGAACAAAAATCGAGAAGCTTCCGTTCCCTCAAGACAAGATCTTATCAGTTGTTCACACAGACAGTTCTGGAAACAGAGAGACTTCAGTTAAGAAGGTCTTGTTCATACCGGCTCTCGATCAACCATTGTCTTCAAATCGGTATTACGTTGTTCACGCTAGAGGCAGACACAAAGGGTAAGATCTAAAAATCACAAAAGAGATCAAAGTTCTAAGGCTTGATTCATATATAAGTAGTTTCGATAGTGTTTTGGTGATAAAAAAGGAATTCCGTGTAGTGAATCTGTTTCTCTTTGCAGGAAAGTTTGTGTGTGTTCTAGGGAGATAGAGAAAGGGTTATGTTGTTTTCCAGATATCTTGCATGACAAGAAACCGAAACCTTTGGATCCAAGAAACTTATATCAGACAGTTAAGATCAACCGGCATCACGAGCGGACGTTCTATGCGAAATCCGTAGCTCCAGATGGCACACCACCTTCATTTCTCAAGAAGAAAGGATGGGAACTACGAACCTCGAGGAGCCTGCATCCGAAGAGACCTAGAGAAGCTCTAGGCCTTGATGATGAGCTAAGAGCCCGCCTCCCTGAATTCAATTTCCCCATCTCAATAATTCGGTCCGGTAGCGTGATAGTAGGAGAATGGTATTGCCCGTTTATGTTTGTGAAGGAGAATTGTAGTGTAAGTCACCAAATGAAGAAGTCAATGTTCTATAGGATGACATTAACCCAATATTGGGAACGGATCTACCATTGTGAAAACAATAACTTGAATGAAACCAACAACGAAGATCTTGACGAAAACAATGATGAAAATGAAGAAGAAGTGGTGAGAGTAGATGCAAACGTGGTGAGAGAGGCAAGCTATGTGATGGGTATGGAGGCGGTTAAAGGGGATAAAGAAGGGCATGGAGGTTTTTATTGGTATAGGCCGGTTCAATGTTTGCGAGGACCGAGAGAGAGGAGGAGAAAGACTGGTTTAGGGTCTGCGGTGGGGCTAAGTTTCGCGGTGGTGGAAAGAATGACAAGGGTAATGGAGGAAGGAGGATGGGTGGGTGGAGGAAGGAAGGTGGTGAGAGTGGAGAGAGATGAGCAAATTAGGGTTTCCAGAAGAGATTTTGTGGATATGAATGGAAACAATGGAAGAGATTGGAGGAGATTTGGGTGTTATGTGTTGGTGGAGAGTTTCGGGTTGAGAAGGGCTGATGGAGTTTTGTTGATTAAATGTGTATATAGACATACTCAAAGACTGAGATGTAAATGGGATTGACTCGTTTATGCTATAACAACACTCTTTCGGTTTTACAAAAAGAAAGGGGGGGGTTCTATAATCATTAAAAATTGTACATTAAAAATCAGGAAAAGTAACAAATTCTACTTGTAGAAAAAGACTCCAAAGTTTAAATAAAACTGGATAAAGAAATTAATGAAAAATCCTTCTTGTATACAGTACTAGCTAGAAAGACTCCAAAAGAAAAAAAGATGGTAGAAAAAGAAAATTAGGATTGTTCAACCGCCCAAATAAAGAACGCCACATTGTAGAATTACTATTAATGATGTCAATCATGAAATGATCTAGATTTAATTTAATTCAATCCTAACAGTTTCTTAAAGAAGAAGAAAGTAAACACTAACTGATATATTGGGGTTTTCAGGCTTTCCAACCTAAGGTTTTCAACAGTTTTTCGAGTTAAAGTGTTATTTTAGAGCTTTTTAGTCATTTTATCTATTTTTTTCAGGTTTTAGATCATTTGGGAGAAAAAGAGCCATTTTGAGTACAAACGAACATATGTTGATGCAGAACTATACAGGAACGTCCGAAGTTTTTCATTCGTTGAAGTACTTCCCACCAATGGATCGAGCTGAAATTTGGACACACGCTATATCTTTGAGTTAGCTTTCATTTGGAAGTGGTTTGAAGTCAATCTGATGGTGCGATCAAAAGTTATGCCAGTTTTCGTGAAAGCAGTCTAGTCTGGCGCGCGCAGAAAGCCGAAGAACTTCCCGAGAGAAATTAGATCGATCGATCTAGATTTGGATCGATCGATCCGAAGTTCAAAAATTATCCGGGACATTTTCGGTCGATCGATCTAGGAGGGATTGATCGATCCGAGAGGCCATGGATTTCCCGAGAGGATTTAGATCGATCGATCCAAGTCAGGATCAATCGATCCGGGGTATTAACCAGCCGGTTTGGTCACACAGAAATAAGAAAACTTCGGGTTTTTCCTATTCAAACTTGGTTTTCGACAATTTCTCATCCAATTCGTTCCTAGACCTATAAATACTTGTTTTTCAGCCATTGTTTAGGCAACCCTCTTCTTTTACATTCATACTTTTAGGTTTTGTGCTTTGTAAGCTTGGAGAGAAGAATCTCTACACCTATTAAGAAGATTTCTGAACCCTTTTGGATTTCTTATTTATTGATTATGAATTTCTCTTCCTCTCTTTGTTGTTTCTCTGCTTTCATGTCTGAGTAGTTTCATAGTTAGGTTTAGGGTTTTCAAAGGATTCATGAATTAATGAACTAGACATAAATATGGTTGTTCATCTGCTGTCTTCGCCTATTGTTGTTCTCATTGCTTCGATTAATTTGATCACTTAATCTCTGATTTAGGGTTTAATATATTCATGAAAGTGTTTTAGATTGCTTGATAGAACATAGGTGAGCAGATTGTCCTTAGCCAACGAAAGCTAATGTTAAGGCAATCTGTGAACAAATCAAACTTGTTTATTAATGCTTGTTTAGAATTTTAAGTTCAAACAAAAATTTAGATACTTAAGTTGCTAGACAAAGTCTTTGATGCCACTAAAGTGGATTAATTATACATTTATGTTTGAGTTCTAGATTGTTCCCTGAATAATTGTCTGGTTCTTGATCTCTGAATTCCTGCGAAATACCTAGACCTAGCGCTTTCTTTTACTGTCTTTAAACCGCTTTTATTTGCTATTTTCGTTTTACATTACATTTAACAACTCATATTCTTGTCTTAGCTTAGTTTCTTTCATTAAGATTTGCAGTGTGACACTTGGTCCTTGTGGATTCGATCCCTACTTTATTACATCATTTACTGTGTACTTGCAGTAGTTCTATAGGGTATAAAATCTGTGTATCACTAACCTTGATCCATGCTCTCTTTGGACTTGTTATGAGATCAATATTTCAATTGATCTTCTCCTCCTTAATCTCCAAAAGACCTTACGATTCCTTTTGATGGACAAGGAATTAAAATCCTTCACTTTCTTTCTCTTATCCCTCACGGTTGTTTATATGTGTGTTGTTGTTTTTAACGTTAGTTACTTGGTTAAATTGTGTTTCTCCTTTTATAATAGAAACACACTTCTTAACCAAACATTACAACCTTTAGTACACACCAATACAAACTTTTTATATATATCATTACAACCTTTGATATATATATATATGAAAAACTTAGAGAGGATAGCATCCACAACGGATGATCTCTTATTAATGGTATTTTATTTATATTATAATAATATAAATTGATTATATAAATAAAATTATAAATTTAAGAGAGTTGAATCAATCAGATAAAAACACCTAGTTGTTTAAGTTTAGAAACCGTATCTAAAATTTTTTAAAGTAGAAACTGTTTCTCTTCTTCTCTCATACTTTTATATTATTTTCTTTTTTTTATTGTAAGATACTTATGTGAGAAACTAGGATTGGAGCTGCTCTTATAATAAGATAAGGCATGAGGGTTATCAATACACCCAATTCTAATCTCTTTAATTAAAACTGATCCATCACAGTATCGTTTTTTATATTAGAATTCATAACTTTAATATTAACATGATCTTTATATTAAACCAAAAGACATATATGTCACATATATTTCCAATAAGAACATAGCAATGGTTGACATCCATAATTTTCTGGCCTTACGGTCACAATTTTTCATTATTAATACAAAGTTTAAATAAAACCTGAAAGATCAGGACGTGTAATCTATTATGGTTTATATTAGTGCCATTTCTGTATCACCAATTAAATTTAAACTCGATCCTACAATTTTTTGAAATACATTGTAAAAAGTTTATCGTCATTTGTTAACACGATTTGCCGAATGGCACTCCCATTCAGTGCCGTCGTTTGTATTACTATTTCTGGATTATTTTCATTGATTTCCACACACACAAAATACACATTGATCAAGTTATCTATTTTTTTTAATATATTTATCTCTCCTTTGTTTTTTACTCTTTACTTTTCAAAAGTATACAGTGTGGAAGTTGCTAGTTGCTATTTAAGCAATTAGCCGACCTGAAATATCAACAAACTTATCCAAAGAAACAAAAAAATTCAACAAGTACTATATTGATTCTTTCCATAAATTTCCTTCTTGTAATATACAGATCTCCGAGGATCAAATCCTGCCAAATATGGCAGAACTAAACAGAAACCATACTTTGGTCACGACCCTTTTGCTTTTGCTTCAACTATGTGGCATCGTATCTTGCTCCACAAGCAACTCAATCACCAGAAACCACACGATACGAGACGGAGACTCACTGATCAGCGAGAACAAAATCCTCGAGCTTGGATTCTTCAGCACCAAAGACTCAACCTTAAGGTATGTTGGAATCTGGTATAAGAACGTCGAACCCCGAACGATTGTTTGGGTCGCGAATCGAGAGAAGCCATTGTTAGATAAAAATGGAGCTCTGAAGATTGCACATGACGGGAACTTGGTGGTCGTCAACAAACGTCCATCATAAGTTGAACAAAACGGTTGCTCTTCTGTTGGAAACAGGGGATTTGGTTCTGTCTTCAGATTCAAACAGAAGCACTTTGTATTGGGAGAGCTTTAACAATCCAACTGATACTTTCTTGCCTGGTATGAGGGTTAGGGTGAATCCATCAAGAGTAGAGAATCGCGCTTTTATTCCGTGGAAATCAGAAAATGATCCTTCACCCGGAAGGTATTCACTTGGGATTGATCCCATTGGAGCATTAGAGATTGTGATTTGGGAAGGGGACACGAGGAAGTGGAGAAGCGAACCATGGGATTCAGTTATATTTACCGGTATACCGGATATGTTCCGTTTCACGAACCATCTTTACCATATTAACATCTCTTCTCCTCCTGACCCAGATGGTAACGTGTACTTCACGTATGCTCCGACAAACAGTTCTGATCTATTGAGGTTTCAGATCAGGTTTGATGGCGTACTAGAGCAGTTCAGGAGGACTACGAATGCCAAGAACTGGACTTTGGTTACATCGAACCCAAGCATGGAATGCGAAAACTATAACCGCTGCGGCAATTACAGCTTATGTGATGATAGTAAAGACTTTAGTTCTGGTAAATGTAGTTGCATTGATGGGTTTAAGCCCGTGTACTGGAATCAATGGAACAACGGGGATTTCTCGGGTGGCTGCAAGAGAATGGTTCCATTGAGCTGTGGACAGAGTCTGGTTGCGGATAGGGAAGACGGGTTTAAGGTACTTAGGGGAATGAAGGAGCCTGATTTTGGATCAATTGTTTCGCTTAACAACTCAGAGACTTGTAAGGATGTATGCGTGAGGGATTGCTCATGCACTGCTTTTGCGCTTGTAAGAGATATAGGGTGCATGATCTGGAAAGAGAGCTTAGTTGATTTGCAGTATAATTTGCTCAATGGTATTGGTCTTTATGTTCGTCTTGCGGATTCAAAACACAGTAAGTATATGTATGCAAATGATCTATAAACTCAATCAGTTTGTCCATCAGAATAATACTAACTATGTGTCTTATCTGTTTGTAGACACTGTTAGGTTTTGGATTGTTGTCACAAAGGTTCCTACGGTTTGCATTTTAGTTGCAGTTATGGTTGGTTTAAAGTTGCGAAAGTGCGTAAAGCATAAAGGTATATACTGTTGAATTCATTGATACAATATCCATCATAAAAGTCTTTTTTTCTATTGATGTATATTAATTTCATACACAGCTGAAAGAAAAAAATTAAAAAGCGAGACAAGTGTTCCAGAGAATTGAAGCTTTAACAGTAAGTAGTAACGTGAAAAGGAATAGTCCTATAAATTTATCCAAACTCGAGGACCTGCCACCACTTTTTGAGTTTCAAGTGTTAGCTACTGCAACAGACACTTAAAAACAAGTTAGGACAAGGCGGTTTCGGTCCTGTTTACAAGGTAATTGAACCTCTGTTTGCAAACAGTTGTCTTATGTATTGTTGAAGATAACTTGGAAAGCAAAATATATATCTTGTGAACCAAGTAATGCAGGCCATCAAGGTATACATCTTCTTCTCCAAATTATCTCCAATGTGTATTCTTCACAACTGGTTGATATATTTGGTTATAGGGAAAATTGCAAGAAAGTCAAGAAATCGCGGTTAAAAGGCTTTCGTGTGCTTCTGGACAAGGACTTGAAGAACTTGTTGATGAAGTAGTCGTCATTTCCAAATTGCAACACCGTAATTCAGTGAGATTGCTTGGGTGCTGCATCGAGAGAGAAGAGATGATGTTGGTGTATGAGTTCATGCCGAAGAAAAGCCTAGACGGTTATCTATTTGGTAACTTATCACATCTTAGACTATATTTCCATTCTTATTTGTTTATTGTATGGGGAAATTTACGCACTAAGGATTTGTGATTCAGGCACACAGGAGCAAAATATTCTCGATTGGAAGACACGTTTTAACATAATCATTAGTATTTGTAGAGGTCTTTTGTACCTTTATCGAGATTCAAGGCTAAAGATTATACACAGAGATCTCAAAGTTAGCAACATCTTGTTAGATGATAACTTGAATCAAAGATATCAGATTTTGGACTCGCCAAAATTTTTCACATAAATGAAAATGAAGCTAATACATCAAGAGTGGTTGGAACAAAGTAACTAAACATTTTATTAACTTTTTTATACAATACTTGAAAATAAAAAATGTTAAAACCGGCCTAAAAACTATCTTTTATAGCGGATATATGTCACCGGAGTATGCAATGCAAGGTTTATTCTCAGAAAAATCCGATGTTTTCAGCCTTGGAGTTATACTATTGGAGATTGTGAGTGGAAGGAAAATCTCAAGCTTTTATAACGATGACAAGAATCTGAATCTTTTAGATTATGTAAGTATACTTAAACAATTTAAACTTATTCTTACAATAAGTACTCGCTCTAAAGATTTTGACCTTAACTCTATGTTTTTTAGGCTTGGAAATTATGGAATGATAGGCAGGCTATCACTCTTGCAGACCCTTGAATCTACAACGAGGCTTTTGAGAATGAAATGCGAAAATGTGTGCACATTGGTTTATTATGCATCCAAATTCACTCAAATGATAGGCCATGAGTTTCAACTGTGATTTCAATGCTTGGTAATGAGAATGCAGACCTCTTTGAGCCAAAGCAGCCAGCGTTTATAGCGACATGGAATGCTAGAGACGCTGTATCATTGATGCAAATATCATCTATCAACCGCGTGAGTCTTACATCAGTCTCAGGACGATAGCTCTCGGCAGACAGTTTCAATTTAGGAGTGTAGAAACAAATAGCATCTATCAACCTTGTATTTGATTTTCTTTGGGCATATTAACTAAACATTATAAATTACATTGGTGTAAACATGTAAAATGCTGAAAAGGATTTGTACCAAACTTGGCTGAAAGAGAAGTAACTTATTACTCAGAACTTATTGTCCGAGAGTCAACCGATCGCCATTTTTCTGTCACTGTCGGATATAATAAGTTTGCTCCCGCGCGCGCGTGTGATCCCTGCATAACGAAATTGTGTGTTCGTGATGCAATTAGGTTTTTTTCTTTTTTGCTTTAAATGAATTATGCAAATTGCCGTTGCTGCTTTCAGTGAACCCTCCATTCAAATTAAAAAGAAAAACTAAGCTACGATTTCGTGATGCAATTAGAGCATCTTCGAGTCTTTGTACAGATTCTCTAGTTTTATATTATTCTTACTATTATTTATGAAGTTTAATTATTTGAAAAATCCATGTGTCATATTCATAAGCAAAGTAAGTATATTATAAATGTAAAATAAAATATCATATGTTAATTTTTTTTGTAAAATAAATGAATGCTTTGGCTGATTGAGTTAAATTTACTTTGAAAAATTAAATGATTTTGTTCGATAATAATACAAAAATTAACAAAAGTGAATTAATTGCAAATGAGAAATATTATAATCTTGAAATGTACAACTACATAACAAGTTTTATAAAATATTATTTTACAAATTTTGTAATAAATATTTATTATAAATATTATATTCAAAAGGAAAAATTAATATTAATTTATCCAAATACTATATTTATATATTAAATTATGTCATATAAGAAATATATATGCTAGAAAATGTCATGTCAAAAATTTTATTATCATTGCATATCATATTATTAATTGAGAAGCAAGTTGGGCTGTGGTTGAGAGTTATTATGATTGATTAGTTTTTACCCCTCATATGAATTGACTTGATTTGCCCTTAATAAAATTTACTATTGATTTGTTTCTAAATTAAAATTTTTATTTAATTATGATATATAAAATATGTATATTTTCATATTTGCTATCGGATAATTATATGGGCGAACACTTAAAATAAATGTAAATTCGATCCAGTATATTCTAATATCATTATCTTATGCTAAAGAAAAGTAAACTATCAATGTGTAGCCTTGTATATATATATATAAATATGATCACTATTTTTAAACGCTTTGTCATGTCTTCTATATTTTCTAGGGCTTATTTTCGGTTTTTTTCAACCATATATCGTTCAATCGTGGTTCCATAAAACAGTTGTTGTGATTGTTTTACTTTGTTTGTTATTTTATAGTTTGATTGTCTGTCTATATTCACTTTGTTAGTTTTGAGTCTCAAGTTACCGTGATGATCCATGAACTTGTTTTTGGAGATTGTACGTCCCAATCGCCTTCTCTAAATTCCAACGTAGGTATGTTTTGTGGAATAAATTTTTGGACCTATATTTATTTTTATAAATTGGGTTATGAGTTTTTTTTTCTATAATTTGAACACTTGTAGGATAATCTATTTATTGTTTGTTAGCTGCTAAGTCGGTGTCATTATAAGAAGATTGGATGGCGCATCAGCTGAGTTCCTCATATAATGATTGTTTAGAAGCAATGTTATGTTTGATTATTTACTTTGTTTGCGCGTATTTATTGTTTTTTCCTGTTTTTGATTATAATTTATTTGATTTTTAGATTTTTTTTAAATTATTACTCATGTTTATTTGTCTTCCAGTCTCGAGGCAGTTATGCGAGTGTTCGTTTGGATGGGATTCCATAACTGGTATTTGGATATCACATCATATTTGCCATGGTTCAGAAGGTGGGTGTTTTTTTTTCTATGATTTGGGTTTTTACATGTAAAGTTCGATTGGTTTCACTTTCTCTTTGTGGTTCTAGACTGGAATTGTGATTGAGTATGACGGTAAGCTGTTGAATTGCTTACCAGATGCTAAGAAGCTAATAAAAAGCATATATGAGCCAAAAATGGCTCAGAACTTTCAGATGCATAAGCCATCTTTGTGAATAGCTACTCATAAAAAAAAGCATAGCCAGAGGAAAAAACTCTGAAATGTCTTCAAATTGCGAATAGTTTACTCATGGGTTACAATACACTTTTCTGCAATATTTCGGTTCAAGTATACCTGTCAATGAATGGATGATCCTGGTTGGTAATTTTTCCGATATGTTTCATATGCTCTATTAATCATTGTTTAAACTTTAAATGTTACTGCAGTTTTTTATACTCAACTTTGTGATTGTGTCTTTTTAGGATAGTGGAAACATAAAGAGATAACTAGATAAGGTTCATAAGCAAAACTTACAACGTGTGATTCTGATTTATTTTAGTGTCTGTGTTTTCGTTTAAAATGATCTAATCTGTTTTTAATTTTAGTAACACGGTTTATAAATTTTATATCTAATTTATTATGTGTTTTTAATATACCAATATAAAGGAATCCAACCATGGAGAATAAAAGAATCGCTAATCCACTCTTTATCCATTATATGGATTTTTTTCATAAAGAATTGTTAAGTTGGTCTTTTCTCCCAGTTAACACAAATCCAAGACATGTAGATAAATATCAAAATCTCCACTCATAATTTTCCACTTTCCTTTTATTTTTATTTTTGTTCTGAAATTCGACTGTAAATTTGGTTTATGTTTGCTTATTAGAGGGGCAATTCATAAATTTTTTCTTTCGAACTTCAATTGTTTTAAGAGTGTTGGGTTTGTTTCTTTTTTTGTGTATATCAAATCTCTAAGTTGGTTTTGTTACTTGTGCCTCATGGCGACAAGGACTTCCAGTTATGGGCAAAGTGCGGTTGATCGAGTACCATGGAAAAACAAGAAACTCAGCCACTTAAAGCTTATGATGTAGCCAGTGATCTCTTAGTGGAAGAGAAAGAAAACCTACGAGATAACCAATATCCAAAGAAGAAGGGCAACAAATCTTTATCGGCCGAAGGAAGTATTGACTCACGAGTAATACTATTTTAATATGTGATAAATGAACAATACTATTTTTGTTTGATCCTTCAGCTTAAAACGTATGGAGAGATATGAATGTAAAAGGGTACAAAACTATAGGAGAAAGGAAGAAAGATTTTTGAGAAGCAGAAGCATTTGTATAGTTGCACCTTCTCTCCGTATGTGATTTGGGAAAAGGGTGTAATGTGTATGATACCAACAAATCCTTAAGATTTATGTTCTTTTTAAGCTGAAAGAGATTTTTGATGTGCTTTTTTCTTAGATACTGTATTATACAATTAATAATGATATATGAGAGTAACTTGAATATCTGCTTCAAGAGGAAAAGTAGGAGATGATCGTAATGTGGAATATGCTGCCATCAAAGAGTTTGCAAGCCTCTTTGTGGGGATAACAGTGAATGAATTTGAGACATGGGAAACCTCTAAAGTTTTGTCCCAATTGATATAGTATAACCATTGCACCTTGTGACTCAAGGTACATCTTTCGTTTCTTGATATATTGAGTAATTGGTGTGTATTTTTTAATGTGATATGGATTCTTCTTGATGATAGAATTTAAGTGAGAAGCACATGGTTTAATGCAGCTCAGTGTTGTTGCTGCTCATTGCGTTTGAATAATAAGTTAAGAGTACTGTACAGTAGTGTGAGTTTCAAAGATCATGAAGTCGTAACTACACTTTCTTTAAACCCTATTGATCTGTTGTCAAACAAAAAAAAACTGTTGATCATAAGAATGTTTCTTTGTGAATTTGTCTTTGTTTTACATTTTATTTACGGTCAGTTTAGTTGCGTGTTGCTTAAGAAATAGATTTACTTTTTCACACAGAAAATTATAAAAAATATGTTCAAGCAACAATTGAAAATATGATGAGAAATAAGATTAAAAAACATATAGCTTCATGTATGTTTTCTGAATAAGACGTTGCTATTATATAGAATCAAGATAGTTTTGACAAGCTAATTAAGATAGTTTTGGATCCATTATATCACCAATATGTTTTCTTTCAAATCGATTAATTAGGCCAACGTTAAGTAGACAGTAATATTACACAAGTAAAAGTTAATAAAACTGAAACATCGTCTACATTATAGACAAAATTATTCCACATAATTTGAGACAACATACACCAAAATGTGTAGTGATTGCCACAAAAATCAAACTGTGAAAAGTTTTCACACTAAGATTTTTTCTTCTCGAATGGGCAATATGAAATCCAAGAAATGAGATTACTTTTTTTCTCCAAAACCAGTTTTTAATCATACACATTTATACATTGATATTTCTAGACTAACATCTAGAATAAGTGTGAAGATTTTGATAACTGGTAAAGACATAACGCTCCAATGTAGAACAATGAATTTTGTTTAGAGCGAGTTTTAGCAAATACTTGATCACATTTTTGCATTCTCATTTTGTTTTTTTTTTCTTTTTAGCTTTGATTTATTTTAAAAAAAATTTATTTATAACATTTTTTATAATTTTTTTATAATACGTTAATTTATGTATCAAAACAATGTTTTTGTTACATAAACTTAGTAAAATTAAAGAGGTTAAATGAAAATTAAAAAACTAATCACAATATAAATTGGTATTTTTGTATTACTCCCGTGTTTGGCGCGGAAAACCACCTAGTTATCATTTATAATCATATTTAAATTGCTTAGTTTTATCAAATCAACCAATAAAGTAAAATAAAAATTTCAGTGTTTTTATTAAACTAAATGAT